AGGGAGTCTTTAGTGGCAAAAATGTTGTAGCTGTGATAAATATGTTAAGCTTCTGGCATTTATACAGTGCTTCTCTAGTCTTACTCTTACTCTCAACGGTCTTCATATTACGAGCCACATTTACATTACTGAATTGATTTTAACACTTTTTGATTCATAATATAATACAGTATTTACTCCTGCTTTAAATTATTTAGAGGATTTTCTTTTCCTTTATATTCAGTTTTCTTTTTTACTGAGGAAAGTTCTTTGAGCTGCTTCAGCACGTACTTATTCACTCAGTAAGATGCTTGTATGGCTTGACTATCTCTGAGCTTGTCTTGTAGACATCAAATATAATTCCATGGACAGTCTGTACCTTCCAAATGTGATAAGACTCATCTCTTCATTTAAAGCCAGAAATTCGAGGCCACCAGGTCTTACTATAATAGAAATATAGTGAGTACCACAATAATACTGCATTCTTATGAATGCATTCACAACTTTGATACTCCAGTATTTTCTACCTTTATTACCACTGCTCCTTTCATTGCTTTCTTGAATGCTCACTCCGTGTGAATGCTAACTACTCGGCACCTAGCTGGGTATTTATGTAGCCCCACTCTTTTAGGGCCCATTTTTTATTGCCTTATCAAGAAAAAAAGAGGTTATTTGTATTTTGACTGCCTTCAGTCGTTTATTAGCTATACATTTTAAAGAAATTAGTATTTTATTCTAGTGGTATCAGGTCAGGACTACTCCTTGAGGCTTTACCCGATGGTAGTTCTAGAGGCCATATTTCATAAAGTCTTTAATCAGTTAATTCCCCCTGAACAAGTTGTCCTCTATTTCCTAGAAGGCCCTTCTAAAGTGTCCGTGGGCATTACACTGTTGCTCTCTTGTGCTGAGTTTAACTTCTATAGTCACATTAGCCATGATTTGTTCCCGCTGTGTCCTGCTGTGTCTCCCACCTGTTTGCCCCTTGCCTCATTGCTGTGTGTATAAATTGTCTGAGTCTCTAATTGCAATTTGTCGTGTCATCCGGTTTCCCGCAGCCTGTTTCCAGCTTCCAATTCAACTCAATTCATTTAAATAGCACCAAATCACAACAACAGTTCCCTCAAGACATGTTATATTGTAAAGACGCTGCAATTATAAAAGTTCCAGTTTCTGTTACTTTACATCCTGTGGTGTGTACTGCTCCTGTAGCTTTCCTAGCTCCCAGTGTTTACCCCATGTTCCCGCTTTTCCTACTGGATTTTTGATTTATATTAAATAAAAGCTTGTTTTCGTTTAACATTTGTCCATGAGTCTGCATTTGGGGTCCTCAGGCTACATGACATATGACACTAACCAGTTTATCCTGCCCTAAATAGCCCCAGTTTTCCATGTAACCCTTGAATAACACAAAAATTGGTATAATTCAAGAACACAATTAAGCAACACATCATGTATATATCCAGTTATCTAATTTAAAAACTCTAAACTTAATTAGGACATTATAAGTAATCTTTAAATTTCCATTTTATCAAAAGTCACTTGTTGAGCGATCCTTACCTTTGAAAATAATCTTTCATTTTTCTCTCCTGTCTTCGCTTTCTTACTTTCTCCACCTACCAGGATACAATATGTGACAATGCATTTCAATTTACCTCATGTTCCCCCCTTCATGTTCACTTGTAGCAGCAGCTCACCCTAATCTCCAT